TGTCTACACTCACATCCTCATGTACCAAGTATATCTTCATCTATTTCGAAAATTAAGAATTTTAAATTCAAGCACATTGATTTCGAGTAAACATAAAGAATAATTCTTTGAAAATTTATTTACAATACAAAAATTACAATGATTTTAGTCATATATTACATTTCTCTCATATCTTTTTTTATTCATTGACATAGTTTCATTCTCGGGAAAACCTTCAATTATTAGTGCAGAATAAATGATTCATATTTGAATCATTTACTAGTTTTTTTCTTCGAGCCATCTGGAAGGAAGAATTTTAATGCTTTCAACATAGTTTGTTGTTCTCCACACACATTCTCCAAATAAACCGTATATTGTTCATAAGGTTGATCAAATTCAATATCTGTCACTTTGAAAAATGTTCGTGGACTAATTAATACTTCATCTTCATTTTCAAAATTTGATATACATGGTAGTTGATATACAGGTATTTTACCTAAGTTTATTGCTGTATCACATGGTCGAGAAAAATGAAATATCAATAAGACACTTATTTTATCTGATGATGATGATGAAGATTTTGCACAAAATTTCTCAGCTACATTTCGATTAATAGATGTTGATGCAAATGTAAGCAATGATAAAACACTATCTTTATTTTTCAATGCCCAACGATATTCATTTAATTCATCTTGAGTCAATTGAACACCACGATAGGAATATCCTTGATAATAACGTTGTTTTAAATCTGATAAATGCATTAAAAGTGGAAATTTTAATGGACTTGGTCCTGACAATAATTTACGATAAAATGGTGTTTCCAATGTATAGAGTTTTAATAGAGATTCAATTGTACCTTGTTGAATATATTCATTGAGTAGCTGACAGCAATATTGATAGTCAGGATGATTTGAAGTAACATGTTCATCCAAGATTTTTTGCAAAGATTCTTGTTGAAATTTTTCACTTGTAACATAAGAATATTCTTCTTCATCATAATCATCTTTTTTTCCAAGTTTTAATTTCATTCTTTGTCCCATTATATATCGTCCGATTCGTGATTGAAAGAATACTTTAGAACTATTGATATTATCTAATTGGCTTTTGACTTCTTCATTTGTTTCATAACCGATAAGATACCGTTGATTGGGTTTGGCAACATCATCGTCGTCATCATGACCGTCGATTATAATTTTACTTATTGATGATGATGAAAGTATTTCAAATCTTTGTTTGATATCCGTTGAATCGCCATTAAATCGATTTCCATTTGACGATCGATTATAGAGTTGTCGCATTTCATCTGTTTGTGCTTTTTCATATGCCATGAAACCATGATGATCTTGTATATTTCGTTGACAACTATATTCATGTAGAAGTAAACGAACAATATCTACATGACCAAAATATGTTGCAGCATGAAGAGCAGTACTACCATTAAGCTCTAATTGATTCAATTGATCATAAGGAATAGTAGGTAATATTTGTTTGACTGTATCGATATCTCCATTCCTACATGCAAAATAGAATTGACTTGCTTCTTTTACACATGGATCTTCGAGTAATTCCTGATGATTACTACAACGAGTTTTTAATAATGATTTAAACTTTTTCTCCGTTTTTTTAATAAAATGCATATGCTAACAATAATGATTCTACTTAGAGAGACTTGATAAAACAAATTGTAATAAAAAAAAACAAATACAAATACTAGTTTATATAATGTTTAATAGAACGAATTGCGTAATGTTAAGGATTTGCCCCATATACGAAAACATATTACACATTGGGTTTTTTTTTCTGTACAAACTAAATGATATATTAAAGCGGAATTTTTCCTTCTATGCTCTCGCACATTATATATAGCCCTATTCATTTCCCTTACGTGTCATACATATACATACCTATTCCCTTTTCTATATGTCTTTTTTATCTTGTTTTTTTTCTCATAGACATTTTTGTACACACATTGAAAAATCATCGATGACGAATACATTGCGATAAACAACATTGTCATCATCGAATGAATATGTGGAGTTAAAGCATATGATAAAGAGAAAATATTTGCATGTGCGTTCACGTATAATGGTAATCTGTCGATTAGTCACCTTGAGTTATCAATAGTACTTCTACACGATATGCATCTTCCCATAGTTTAGCGACATGAAAGATAAAATTTTAATTAGAAGATACGTTCGATCAATAGAAAGATAGATAAGCAGATATTGTCAACGATTAACTATGTAAATATTGATTACTTGCTATATTTCGAGTTTTTATTATAAATTGTACACGGACTAAGCATGATGACTGATTGATGCAATCATATATAATGCATTTTATGGTGGAGCTACATATCCTTCCAATTTTTCGAATGACGAGACTACCGATTAGCATTCTTATATAAAGCTTTAGAGATTTCGATTGAATTCGTTTTTCATGTTTAAGGCTCCATTTAGAAATAAGAGTTTAACAGAAGGTACAATGTACACAAGAGTAGTTGCAGTTAACCAATGAAAAATTTATCGATGAGAATATAGCTGTATGTATTAGGAACATATGCCTATCCATTCATCCGGCCACCAGCCATGATCAGAACACGTTCTAATGAATGTAGTTACAGCAGAGAATACAGCGGCGGATCTAGGATTTTTTTGATAAGGGGCGATTCGATAGATATGGGGCGATTTTGATCAAAAAGCAAGTTTTGAAGCCTATTAGTAGTAGAATGCACTCTATTTTTAAGACTTTTCTGCTGGGAAAATCCAAAAATTTTTGTTTCGAATGGGGGCGATCGCCCCAAGCGCCCCCCCCCTAAATCCGCCACTGAGAGAATAGAAAGATAAGACATGTCCGATATTATTTGTATTTCTGGTGATTCGTATTGTTAGATTGATATTTCACTATTATGAATTAGCGTTTCAGTCGATAGACAGGATCGTGTTCACACGTTCAATCTACCCCAGAATAAAGACTGTAGAAAGAGAAGAAAATGTTCGTGCCGCCTAGCGTTGTCGATATTGGCAATACATATTAGTTGCTACAAATTGATCGTCTTTGTTTGGAACTGTGTATCAACAGTCAAGAAGACTGGGAAAACGAAACGTTCTCCACGGTCTTCGAATATTCAATAACGACTGGACATCAGTGTTACTATGAGACTATATAGAGAAAAAATTTCTTTAAGTTTTTCATAAGAAATTAAAATACCTCCGCTTCTACTTTTTACGTGGCCTAAGTAGTAGAACGGATTCATCGTGTTTCATTTTTTATTCGCGTAGAGATTAATAGATGGTGCTACTTCAGTATGGATCTTGCACTAGTCCAGTGAATATCCGAAGTGAGATGCTAAAGTAACAAAGACCTTTGATAGATTTT